GTGAAAAAATGGCAAAAATACGGATTATCAGATGGTTAAATTTGCTTGAAATTGTGTGCTTCATGGAAGCCCATTACTGAGATTTATCATTTAGTTTGAGATGGACTGTGCAATTTTTCTTGTAATAAACTATACACATAATCAACCAAATTAAGGCAAGTAAAAACCAAGTTACTGCATATTCCAAATGTTTCATTGGTTGTATAGTGAATGTATTGCTTAAGCTATCTTGCCATAATATGCACTTTTCTAGCTTTATAACCAATTGATTCGATATTTCTTCCGTGTTAAATGTAAACCATATATTTGAAGATACATCATTTTTAATAAACCAATTTTTTTTGTTATCACAATATAATAGCCCTTCAGTCACTACTTTTTTTACCTTTACCCCCCCTTCTTTTTTCTCATTGATTACTTCCTTATTGATTAACATATAATTTCCAGTGGTGAGTAGCATAGGAGATAATATATAATACCCATGTTGTCCCGCAAAAACATATAGCTCTACATTGCTTAATACTCCATTGATCTTGACATGCCGGTAGTTAAACTTTTCAAGATCATCATGAATTAACAGATGTATCGTTGGAAGGCTCATGCTTTTTATGATATTTTTCTTCAAGTTTAACCTAGATATCTGCCATAACCCTAATGAAAAAAGAATTGTAAAGATTAAAACAAAGACTATTGTTTTTAACACTTTATACCTGTGTTTTTAAATAATTTTCTACACCCATTAATGCGATAAGATCCATCTGTTTTTCAAGCCAATGAAGATGTTCTTCTTCATTTTTTAATAATTCTTCTAGGAGCATCACGCTAACAAAATCTTTTTCTTTTTCAGCAGTAAAAATTGCTTCTCTGATATCCCTTATACCCTTATCTTCTAATTTTAAATTATCTAACAAAATTTCTTTTATTGTGTCTTTTGTGAAATTTCCATCGTATTTTGATATTTTGTTTGTATCCTGAAAATTTGGTATTCCTCTCAAGAATAAAATTCTTTCCGCTAACTTACATACATGTTCAAGCTCTTCATTAAGCTCATTTTTCATCTTTTTTGCAAGCGTATTAATCCCATGATTCTCAAGTACTGCAAAGTGCAAAAGATATTGACGCACAGAAGTCAATTCATTTGTCAATAATTTATTAAAATGTCCTAACACTTGTTTATTCATAATTTCTCTTTAGTTTAAATACAATCTATACAATGTAGATTATCATATAGCAATCATTTAACAGTGCCCCTTACAACAACTGTATCAAATACTATATCATGAAACGTTTGTCTATTTTTAGAAAAACAAGCCACCAGATACCAACAGAGAGTTAGCAGCATTATAAAAACTTTCAATATATTCAAAACATTTACTAACGTATCTTGTTCTCCAGAAAAATCAGTCAAAGTGGCTATGACGCTATTGAATGAAGGAAGAAAAAACTGAGATATACTTCTATCAAATGCTAAATTGATATCTATCTTGGGATAATTTAAATTGATAATGTATATATCCATCAACTTCTGACCAGGAGTGGCCTGAGCGTTCGTAGATATAAAGTAAGTAAAGTAACTACAATTTATACACATACATGATAAATGGAAGATCAACGGAAAATCTCTTAATAATACAGTAATCAATATGGTTGGAATTAATAAAATTACTATATCTATCAAATACGCACAAAAACGTCTTTGTATGCTTGAAATCTCAATCACAGTAGTTATTACCTATTTTCTAAATATTTTACTATAAAGTCTGTAAGTTTATCAAAACATTGAAAACATAACCAATCTTCATAACCGCTCATTGATTGATTATACACAATAGGTAAACAATTTGCACCTTTTGCACATAAAATATCTGTAATACTATCTCCGACAAAGAACACATTTTCTTGATTTATAGGTAATGTACTTTCTTCTAATGCAAATAATATAGGAGTTATGGATGGTTTATCTTCTGTAGTATCACCTGATCCAACTATTCTAGTAAAATAAGCATCTAACTTAAAATGGACCACTTCTTTTTGCAAATTGGTATTTTTTTTATTACTTACTATGGCTAAATAAACATTGTGGCCTTTTAATGTTTTTAACATTTTCTCCACTCCTTGGTTTAAAGTGATATTTTGCAAGAGTGCCTTATCTAAATATTGCTGATATATTGCATTGGCTTTTTTCCATTGCTCACCAAATAACCCGACCATGTAATCTTTTCTCGATTCATGAGAATTTCTATCTGCAGTTTGATTTCTATATCCCATTACATCTATAGTATGCTTTACAGCATTAAATATATTATCCTGGGTGTCGACTAGGGTATTATCCCAGTCAAATAACACTGCTAATGGGTTGTTTGGCATTTTTTTCATTAATATATATTTCAACTTAATAAATGAGCATTACTTTAATACCAAAGTATTGGCAAGTACTACACTTTTGCAGATTATGTTCACT